CCCAAAATGTTCATCAGTGTTCTATGCTATGGATATTAATTGTGTCTTGAATGTGTACATGTATGAACATGTGCACGTGTAAATATTTGTGATGTCACTTTCCTTCACATCCAAAAACCGTATTCTATGTGGATGGAATATGTGGATGGAAACCCATAGCTAACAATGCCTGTATTGTAGCCATATGAATACAGCTATTGCTTAGGCGAGGTGACACATGCTTATTATCCCAGCACCTAGAAGGCAGAGGCAGAAAGATTAGGAGTTGAAGGGCAGCCTCAGCTACTTAGGGAGTTCCAGGCCAGCCTGGGTTATAAGAGATCCTGTCTCAGAAACCAAAAACAGGATGGGAGAGATGGTTCAGCAGTTGAGTGCTTACTGCTCTTGCAGAGGCCCTGACTTCAATGCTTAGCACCCACATCAAGTGGCTGTAACTCCAGATCCAGATGAATCTGGGCCCTCTTCTGGCCTCTGAGGGCACTGCATTTATGTGCACATACCCACATGCACACATACAAACACATAATTAAAAATACAAATATTGGGCTGGAGAGATGGCTCAGCAGTTAAGAGCACTAGCTGCTCTGGCAGAGGACCTGGGTTCAAATCCCAACACCCAACATGGTGACTAACAACTGTCCTTAACTCCAACTCTAGAGGATCTGACACCTTCTTCTGACCTCCTTGGGCATTGTAGGACATGGGTACACATACATACATGCAGGGAATACACTCGTACACTTAAAATAAAAATTAATAAAATATTTTTTTAAGTACAAATAAATCAAAACAAATGTGTGTATGTGTATCTATTGGGATCAGTTTCAATAGCATGTCCAACTTATTCTCCACAAATGTCTTATGTCTATTTCTAACAGCTCAATAATATATTGGACATGATTTATCTAATGCAACACCTGAGATGGAAGGACTTTAGAAATGTTATTCTAGAAACCCAGAACAAGTCAGCACCCCTGCAGTGACACCAGAGCTAACACAGCATTGCCAGGAAGAGGGCTGCTCCAGCCCCTGTGCCTCTTAGTTTCTGGTGTTCACTGAACTCCAAGATGTAGGGCTGGTGTGCATGGATCAGCTTCCTGCCTAGTTTATACATTGTCTTAATTCCCAGAGAGGACAGAAGTCAACATTTCTCCTCTTTAAAACCTTAATATTTGTTAGACTCCCAGAAGTCTTTAGACTACCAAAATTTTTTAAAAATATTTTATTTATTATTTTTTATTTTATGTGTATGAGTGTATTGCCTGCATGTATGTAAGTGTACTTGTACAGTGCCCCAGGGAGGTCAGAAGAGAGCATTAGATTCCCCTGGAACTGGAATAACAAACAGTTGTTAACTGCCATAGATGCTGGAAATCAAACCCGGGTGCTCTTTAAGAGCAGCCAGTGCTCTTAACTGCTGAGTTGTCTCTCCAGCCCCCACAAAAGATTTTTTAAAACATTGTATTAGTGTTTATTAATTGTACAAATAATTGGTTTTATTGTACATTATTTCAATGTGCATTGTGCATATACGTACATGCATATAACACACTTAAATCATATTCACCCTCTTACCTGCTCGTAGTTCTCCTATCCCAACTGCTCTCCTCTTCTCTAATAAACATCCTTCTCTGCTTGCTTGAGGCAGAGCCTCGTGTAACCCAGGCTAGCCTTGAACTTGTTATGTAGCCAGGACTGACCTTAAACTCCTGATCCTCCCTCCTCAATCTCCAAAGTGCTAGGATTATTGGCATGTGCCACCATGCCCAAGTGCTTCTCCTACTCTCATGTTTCCTCTCTTCCCCTAGAGTCTACATATGTGAGGAAACATGTGATACTGCCATTCTGAGTCTGGCTTATTTTGCTTAATATGATCTCCACTTCCTGCCTTTCCCCTGCAAATTTCAATCTTCTTTATGACTAACTCTGCTGTGTATATTTTCCTCGTCCGTTCATCAGTTGCTGGACTTTTGAGCTGATTCCTCTTGGCTGTTGTGAATAGTGACAAACATGCGTGTGCAGATATCTCTAGTGCTTGCTGACTTAGATCCCTTCAGGTACATACCCAGTGGTAGAGCTGGATCATATGATAGAGTATTTTCAGTTTACTGAGGAATCTCCATGCTGATTTCCAGAGTGGTTACACTAATTTACATTCCTACCAGCCATGTTAAAGTGCCTCTCTCATCCTCTCCAGCATATGTTGTTTTCTGACTGGAGAGGATCTCAATGTAATTTTGATTGGCCTTTCTCTGATGGCTGAAGAACATTGTTTTATGTATTTTGGGGGCCATTTACTGATTGAATTATTATTTATTTTTAGTGTTTGATTTTGTTAGTTGCTTATGCATTCTGGATATTAACCCCTATCAGTTGAATAGCTAAAAAATACTTTCTTCCATTCTATAGGGTGTTTCTTTTCTTCTTTTTTTTTTTTGGTCTTTTTGAAGCAGGGTCTCCCTGTAAGCCCCAGCTGTCCTGGAACTCACTGTGTAGACCACACTGGCCTTGAACTCACAGAGATCCGCCTGCCTCTGCCTCCTGAGTGCTGGGACTACAGGCATGCGCCACCACGCCCGGCTACAGACTGTTTCTTCACTCTAATTCTTTTCTTTCCTGTGAAGTAACCTTTTAATTTCATATAATTCATTTACCAACTTAAAAAATTGAGACTTTGAGACCGGGCCAGGATCTTACTATGTGGCACAGGCTGGTCTGGAACTTGTTATGCCACCAAATCTGGCTTTGAACTCCTGGTAATCTTTATGTCTCAGCCTCCTGAAAGCTGTAATCACAGGCAGGCACTACCTTGCCTGGCCCACTTATTAATTCTTGATATTATTTCCTAAACTAGCAAAATCCTCTTTAGAAAGTCAGTGCCTGTGCTAGTATCTCAAAGGGCTTTCCTTATGTTTTCCTCTAGTAGTTTTATTACATTTATTTATTGTGTGTGTGTGTGTATGTGTGTGTGTGTGTGTGTGTGTGTGTGTGTGTGTGTGTGTGTACGTGTGCCAGGGCACACATGTGGAGGTCAGGGGACAATTTATGGAAGTCAGTTCTCTCCTTCTACCATGTGGGTACTGGGGACCTAACTCAGGTCATTAGACTTGGCAGCAAGTGCCTTTATCTGCTTAGCCATCTCAGTTTCCCTCTAGAAGTTTAAAAGATTCAGTAGGCCTGGTGGTGCATGCCTTTAATCCCAGCACCCAGGAGGCAGAGGCAGGTGGATCTCTGTGAGTTCAAGGCCAGCCTGGTCTACATAGTGAGTTCCAGGCCAGCTGGGGCTACAGGGAGACCCTGTGTCAGAAAAAGAAGAACAAACAAACAAACAAACAAACAAAAATAGCTCTAAAAACAAACTCTTGGACACTAAATTCTTTTATTATTGAGAATTGTAGTAAGTGCTTATTTTAATTCCCCTGAGTCTCAGTCCATGAAAGCACATCAGTCAAATTAACACTTCAAAAAGAAAATCAAACATCAAACACAAAGAAAGAAAAACCGGCTGGTCAGGCATGATGTTCAGGCCTATTAATCTTAGCTCTCAGGGGATGAAGGTAGGAAGACCAGGAGTTTAGGCTCATCCTTGACTACATAGCAAGTTTGAAGCCGGCCTGGGTGACAGGAGACTGCCTCAAAAAAAAAAAGAAAAAAATCTAATAAAGCAAGTGCTGTGATCTATAGATCACCAGATTTTTCCAAATAAGGTTAGTGAGTTTGCATCTCCAGGGCCAGACTGAAATCTCAGCAATGCGCACTAACAAAGCAAAGAAAGGGACCTACACATTTTCTAGAATCTGCAGAGCCTAGCAAGGGGCCCTTAAAGCTGTACTCTGCTCCCAGGTCACCCAAGGAAGAAAGCATCATTTCTTTTGCCAGCTTTATTTCAGCCCATTGTTCTTGCAAGACCTTACTGGAAAGCATATAGAAAACTTATGGCCTGCAATCAAGCAGGCCTCTTGGTTTTCCCTCAGCCCCTTGCTGAGAGATGGACCCTGAGTTATGTTCTCTTTCTTCATTCTTCCTGAAGCAGCAGTTTGTGGTTCTAGGACTGTAGTGAGGATGGCAAGCAATGGACCCCACACTGGCAGAGTGGTGATACAGAGGTAAATCACCCTGTACAAGACACTGCTACTAATGATGATCCTGTGTTCTGCTCCGAGGGACACCTTCATTCCCTGTGGGGATGGAAATTACACAAAGTGCCACTGACAAACTGAATTAGCACTTCTCTTATTTCACAGAATCTTGATACTTACTTTATTTATTTTATGATCTTTTTTTAAATTTTTCAAATATTTTATTATTTTTATTTTATGTGTATGAGTGTATTGCCTGCATGTATGTGAGTGCACCTGTGTCGTGCAATGCCATGGAGGTCAGAAGAGGGCTTCATATTCCCCTGGAAGTTAAGGACAGTTCGTAGCACCATGTGGGTGCTGGGAATCGAACCCAGGTCCTCTGCAAGAGCAGTCAGTGCTCTTAATGGCTGAGCCATTTCTCCAGCCCCTGCCTGATCTTTTTTATTTTTAAGACTTATTTTGCTTTATGCATCTGTGTGAGTGTCTGCACGTGTATGTATGTGCTGGGGCCTATGGAAGCCAGAAGAGGGTGTTGGATCCTCTGGAACTGAAGTTATAACAGCCTGACATGGATGCTGGAATGGTCCTCTGGAAGAGCAGGAAGTGCTCACGTGAAGTCTCTCTCCAGACTCCGTGATTATTAATTTTGAGGTAGTATCTTACTTCATAGCTCAGGCTGGCCTGGCACTCACTATGTAGCTCAAGCTGGCCTTGAACTCACAGTGATCCTTCTACCTCAGTCTCCTCAGTGCTGGGATTACGGGTATGAGCCATCACAGCTGGCTGTTTTACTTTTTATCTTTTTGTGGTGCTGGGAATCAAGCCCAGGACTTTGCATGTGCCATTCAAGTATTCTACAACTAAAGTACATTCCCAGCTTTTTTGTCCTTTTTTATTAGTTTTTAAAATTAGCATGCAGTGCTCACTTCAGCAGCACATATACTAAAATTGGAACCATACAGAGAAGATTAGTATGGCTCCTGCACAAGGATGACCTGAAAATTCATGAAGCATTCCATATTTTACCAGCACAGCCAAGTAGTGTTACAGAACAGACTTCAAGCCAACTCACCACACTGGGGAAACATTTAAAAGCATTGTGACCTGTGTGATCATGCAGAAGAATAGAGCAGAGTTACACAGATCAAGTTCCTGCTTTGGAGACAGTGCTATTGATGAGAGTTGCATGGCAAGATGGGAGAACAAGACCATGCACTGCATCCTCAGTACCTTTGACCTGTCCATCTGACCTCTGTCGGCCTACAACCTCCCTTTGTCTCAACATCTCTCTTCCATCTTAACTACCAGCTGTGAATTTGGTGAACACCTTTCTCCTCTTTAGTGTGTGTCTTGTGGCACTCTCAAAATGTAGAACAATAAATCAAATGACTGCATTGTTACAGGAACTGCACACTGCCAGCCTGACGAGAATGCTCTGTCATAGTCTGAGACTGGCATTGCCATTTGTCTTCACTCCTCATTTCTTTTCAAAGGTGCTAAGAACTGAAATCTGGGGTTAGAGAGATGACTCATCCATTAAGAGCAGTGGCTGCTCTTGCAAAAGACTGGGGTTCAGTTCCCAGTAAATAAAGCAGAGATCAACTGAGAAAGACACAAGATATTGTCCTCTGGCCTCTATGCCCTTGCATGAACATGTATACACTCATATACCACACACACACACACACACACACACACACACACATGCTGGGTTAAGGGGGTCTCGTAACAGGAGTGGAGAATGGAGGCAGAAATGAATAGATGAATGAGCTAACAACAGGAGCTTGGGCCCCATCTATAGGAATTAGCAATTGACTCAGTACTTTGCTTTTTGTAGTTCTAAATGATTTTCACTCTTGATATACATGACTTCTAGAAAATTAAGAAGCAGGGTTCTGGACAATGCAAATGGATCCTTGGAAGTCACCAGAAATAGCATTCAGTAGTAATTCAGCCAAAGACAAATGTCAAACTGGGAGAGAAAACAAGTGTACACAAAATATTATTCCCTTAACAATACTAGAAGAATGATTTGTACAGAGAGGCCATTGTGTTGTATCAGGCTGTTAATACCACTCCTTCTTCTACTCACAACACAAACCTATGGGCTTTGTCCCACCCTAACAACCAATCCTCCAACCCTCCAGAGAGGACTAGGGTGTCCACTGATTCAATCTTAGTCTGTCCCTACTACTGCCCACAGGTGAGCTGCTCAGTCCCACAGACCTGTCCTGTTCCCTCAGATGCCAGTGGTGAGCCAGAGTCTCAAAACTGTAACTCAGGGTGCCTGGGACTCCTCCTTCGGTCTAATGATTTTCTAGACTGCCCACTAGAAGTCAAGGGAAACCGCTTACCTATTTCTGGACCGAGTGCTTGAGTCTCCCCCAGATTCATGTGTTGAAATCCTACCCCCTCCGTGATGGTATTAGGAAATGCAATTTGGGGGAGGTGATTAGGTGATAAGGGTAAAGCTTCATAAATGAAGTTAATGTCCATGTTATGAGACCCACACCCAGGAACTCCCCTTATTCCTTCTACCACCCAAGGACATAGCAAAAACATGGCTAACCTGTGAACGAGTGTGGCCCGAATTCTCTCTGGGTCTCCTGTGTGATCAGACAATGCATATAATATATTTTATGTGTATTTATTAACTTACAAAGGAATGGGTACCCAGTGCCTAGCCCCGCGCTGCTGTGACAAAGATCTGACCTTATCAGACCCGGCCACACCCATAGTCCCCCACTAGCATTCGCTCATGCCTCCGGAGCCAGCAATCTTGCCGCAGGTCCACAGGAGTCAGTCCATTCTCTCTTTGAGTTGCTGCGCTGACTGCTAGTTTCCTATACCATCATGCTCTACGGCAGCTCCCAGCTTCCATCCCAAGATAGCTCCCAGCTTCCCTTCCTACTTTCCGCTAGTGTCAGGAACACCCATTGGAGGAACCAGCCAATCAGGAGACAACCAGGAAGTGGACCCTCACCAGAAAACAAATCTGTCACTCTTTTTTTTGGGGGGGGGTGTAGAGAGGTTGCATAGTTTATGACATCCAGGAGGGGATGACTTACAAAGGCATGAAACACCGCCATCAGTCTCTCTCAGCTTTTCGTGTGAGGCTGCTCACCTGCTTGCCCACCATTCGCAGCTAAGTTCCCCATGCTCCTCAATATGGTGGCAGCTCCTCCCCTTCTTGCTGCTAAGGTCAACTGATTGGGTGGGAAGGGTGATGGGCTTCCGCGTGCTTGACTCCTTCGGCAGAGCGTGGGAAGGAGGCAGGACAATAGCATGGGTCATAGTGGTCGGTTGTAGGAACTTCAGGTCACACTCCACCCCTTTCATTCAGCTCTTACAAACTTTGCACCCACCTCTTCCCCCAGGGACCCTGAGCCTTGGAGGGGGTGATAGGTGTGGGACAAATCTGTCACTCTTAATCTTGAATTTGTGGAACTATAAAGAATGAGATTTTGTTGTTCAGAAGCTACCCAGTCTATGAAAATTTTGTTATAGCAGCCTAAATAGGTTAGAACCATACTAATTTTGGCTTAATAAAAAATATATAAAGTCAGGTATGGTGGGGGACATTTTTAATCCGAGCACTCAGGAGGCAGAGGCAGGTGGATCTGTGTGAGTTGGAGGCCAACCTGGTCTACATAGTGAGTTCCAGGTCAGCTGGGGCTACCCTGTCTCAAAAAGATCAAAAAAAAAAAAAAAAAAAGAATGAATGAATGAATGAATATATAAATGATCTGCAAGATGAGGAGGTATGCAGGACATTTCAGGAAGAGTCTCAAGCGTGGGAGTTTGTGAGCTGCAGAATTGGCATGTGGCACTCTTTTAACACATAGATTCTTCCACCAACCTAACATATCTCCAAACCCCAGATTTTTAGAGTTCTATGGAGACTTCATGTCATAAGTTTGAGTGAGCAAATCACTGGCCCTTGGTGATTTAATGCTGCCTCCAGCCACTCTTCCCTCCCCAGTGGTCTAGAGGTGAGACTGAAAGTTCTAAGCCTGCAATGATAAGCAGAGGGACTTGACCGGAGCTAAGCCCAGACTCACCATATTAGAATGTTGGGAGTTTGCTGCCATTTTAGGAGCCTGCCAGGAACCTAACACTTGTTAGCCACCATATGGGTGCTGGGAAACTGGAGTCTTCTAGAAGAGCAGCAAGTGTTCTTAACCACTGAGCCATCTCTCCAGCCCTGAACCCTTACTTTTAAAAAAGTGGTTAAAAATATATACAGCTGTGTATGGTGATGTATGCCTTTAATTCCAGCCCTAGAGAGTTAAAGACAGGCAGATCTGTCTGAGATCAAGCCCAGCCTGGTCTACAGAGCAAGTTTAAGGTCAGCTGGGGCTAAGGGGAGACCCTGACCAACAGAACAAAACAATACAAAAAAATATATACATAACAAAATAATTTGCTATCTTCATTTTTTTAAATTACACTTCGTGTGTGTATCTGTGTGTGTGTGTGTGTGTGTGTGTGTGTGCATGCGTGTGTGTGTGGTGTATTTGTGTGTGTGTATTTGTGTGTGTATGCCACAGCACATTTGTGGAGGTCAGAGGACAACTTACAGGAGTCAGTTCCCTCTTTCTACCATGTGGGCCCTGGCTTTTGAACCCAGGTTGTTAGGCTTGGTGGTAAGCACCTTTACCCAGAGAGTCATCCCACCAGTCCTTCATCATTCCTAACTATGCAATTCAGTGACATTGATTACATTCATGATATTCTGCAATCATCACCATTATCGACTCCCAAAGTTTTGCATTATCTCAAAGAAAATGTAGTGAATGTTGCTATACTATCTAATTAAGCTCAGGCTGAAAGTGTTTTGCTTATGAAGAGGGTGTCTCTGTCCCTGGCTCTCCAGCAGGTGTTCTTCTAACCCCAGCTCCTGTTAGTGCCAGAGCTGGGAGCCACAGCCTTGAGATGGATCCAACTTTACCTGTAGGCTCCCCTCTGCTCCTGTCCAAGTTGGGCATCCTGCATCCCGTCCAAGGTGGGCAGCTGGAGTTTCTTTCTTTTGTGGAGATCTCAGGGCAGAAGAGATGGCATTAAGTGCACGGATCAGAGACCTTCAGATACAAGCCCTGCATTTTGCACAAGAGTTCTGGGACCTAGATAAAGACCTAAATAAAATTTCTCTTCATTGTTTTCCAAGTATCATAAAAGTCACCTTTCCCACCAGAGCAAGAAAAAATACACACGTCTTCATTAATTAACTTGTCTTGAACTAGATGTCTTTGTAAGCAGTCTGTAGTTTATCAGACTATACTCCATTCCTTGGTTCTCCTTAAAATTTTTCTCTCTTCCTTCCTTCCTTCCTTCCTTCCTTCCTTCCTTCCTTCTTTTAATCCTGTGCGGGTTCTTTGTTTTGTTTTTTGGTGTGTGTGTGTGTGTGTGTGTGTGTGTGTGTGTGTGTACAGTATGTGTATGTATGTTCATGTCTGTGAGTGTGGAGGTCAGAGCACAACCTCTGGTGCCGGTCTTCACTTTCCACCTGTTTGAGACAGCATGTGTTTGAATATGCCAAGCTAGCTGACCCTTGAGTTTCTGGGAATTCTCCTGTCCCTACCTCCCATATCTTTGTAGGAACACTGGGATTAGAGACACACATCATTGTACCTGGCCTTTTTGTGGGTCCTGGGGATTCAAACTCAGGTCCTCATAATTTTATGACAAGCCCTTTCCCCATTGAGCCATCTCCTCAGTCTCTCTTCTTTTCTTTTTTGGTCTTTTTTGAGACAGGATCTCTCTGTAGTCCCAGCTGTCCTGGAACTCACTATGTAGACCAGGCTGGCCTTGAACTCACAGAGATCCGCCTGCCTCTGCCTTCCAAGTGCTGGGATTACAGGCATGCGCCACCACACCCGGCTTTTTTTTCTTTTCTTTTTTGAGACATGGTCTCCAGTAGCTCCAAATGGCCTTAAATTTGCTAGGTAGCTGAGAATGACCTTGGAGTTCTAACTTTTCTGCCTATACCTCCAGATTGCTGGGATTCACAGGTATGTGTCATCAC